CTTTAGTGATGCCACAGTGGGGGTGCAGTATCTTGCTGGAGGTCACACAGCAGTAAGTGACAGCATCCTGAGTTCTAGGGCACTATGTGGTCAATTACCTTCAATTTGCCCAGTCCTTTTCCTCTAGGAAGGGGCACCCAAGGGCTGCTAGCCTTCATCAAGATGAGAAAAAGAGCTCCCAAAGGAAAGTGTAGTGGGCTGGATAATGTCTTCCCAAAGAGGTCCACATCCTAGTCCCCAGAACCTGTGACTGTATTATTCTACATGGCAAAAAGGAGTGTGCACATATCATTAAATTGAGGATCTTGTAACAGAGATACTCTCCTGGATGATCTGTGTGAGCTCCAATGTAAGGCCACTGATGAGAGAGAGAGCAAGAAAATCAAAGGAAAAAATAAGAGAGGAGATGGTGGAAGCAGAGGTCAGATTGATACAAGAAGGGCCATGAGCCAAGGAGCACAAGCGCCTCTGGAAAGAGAAGAAAATGGATTCTCCTCTATAGCCTCCAGAAGGAACACAGCCCTGTGAACCTATTTTAGACTTGCAGTCATCAGAACTAAAAAGGAATAAATTTAAATATGTGTTGTTTTGAGCCACTAAGTTTATGATATGCCTCAGGAAACAATATAGAAGATGAACGAGGTGCCACAGCTGGTACAGCAGTGAGGGGCCTACCTAGGCTGGAAGAGTTGAAGCTGCCTCTGCCCAGAGACACACAGCAGGAAAGAGTGGAAGACTCTGAGCTACTGGGCCACGTGGCAGCTTGCTGCTCTACATGCCTGGCCCCTACACTGCCCTTTCCCCAACTGGGATGGCCTTGGCCTTCCTCTCTTGTTTGCTAGGACATCCACTTCCAAATCCTGCCTACTCTCCCTCCCCCTTTGCATGACCCAGGTACCTGCCCTAGCACCTCTTCAGAAAGAATCTAGGCCCATCTGATGCAAACTCTGTCCATTTTCCATCACATGCCAGGCTGTCACCTTGATTGGGAAACCACTGAGGGGTGGCTGGTGAGGAGGGCCTTCACTAGGATAGGGGAGATGGGGAGGAGTACATTGGGAATCGATAGAATTTGGCAATTGTGAGCAGCAGCAAACCTGAGGTGAAGGTCTGGATGAGGTGGCCTCCCAGTAGGCTATGCTCTAGGCTGGGGGTCAGGGACCTCATAGATCTGAGAGAAAACAGGCTCTCCCTGGGGCCCGTAGGGCGTTGGAAGCTGTACGGCACCATGGAAGCCTGGGCTGTAACCAGCACTGTGGTTATGCACAACCCTCTTCATCTCTTGAGGCTTGTCTTGCGCCTGCAAGACAAGCAGGTTAGCTTTTCTGATCTGATGCCCCTTCTCAGCACTGAGTCTCAGATACTCAGGGTCCAGCACAGGTAGCTACTCTCCTGTCCCCTCCTTTGCTGTGCTGGGACCTCTTCCCAATCCAGGGCTCTAGGGCTGTGCTAACCAGGAATTGTTGCCAGGTGGCTGGGGGCCCCCAGAGAATCCCCCTACTCCCCCTCCCCATCAAAGAGCAAGGGTGATGCAACCTGCCTGCAATGCCTGCCTCATTTCCCAAGCCTGGCTCCTCCGCACTGAAAAAGAGTCCCCAGAAGCCCCACCCATGCTCCCAAGCCCCAGCTCAGGAATTGAAAGGGACTTGGGCACCTGGACCCTGGAAGACTGCAAGCTGAGGGAGGCAGAAGCATTTGAGTCCTGGAAGTGCCACAGGTCCAGGTCAAGAGCAGGCATAGGAGAGGGCTCAGGATGCCAAGACCTGGGCTCAAAGGCAGCCACTGATAATCCACCACCCACAAATTAGAATGCACCAGGAAGGACTAGGGAGCAAAGTGTGCAAACTGGCACCCATTCAGTAGGAATCAGTCGAGCTGTTTCAGTGGGACAGCTGGCACAAGGGCTGAACTGGGTGAGATTCAACAGCTAGAAAGAGAAAAAGGTGCAAGGGGGTAGGACAGGGGGAACCAGGGTCCTTGCCCGAACGTCTCCCCAGTCAGCATATGTGGCATACAGCTGGCAACATGATTCCCATACTAACCAAATTCATTTCTAGTTACTAAAAGATATCCTACCTGGCCACCCTCTCAAAAACCCATAGTCCCCAGTCTATGAAACAAAACCAAATTAAGGGATGTCACATACAATAACCAACCAGCACTCTGCAAATCTCCCAAGGTCATGAAAATCTAAGAAAGTCTGAGAAACTGCTGCAGACCAGAGGAGGCTAAGGAGACACGATGATTAAATGTGATATGGCATCCTGGAACAAAAAAACAGCATTAAGAACTAGCGAGGGGTGCCTGGGTGGCTCAGTCGGTTAAGCATCTGTCTTCTGCTCAGGTCATGATCCCAAGGTCCTGGGATCAAGCCCTGGGTAGGGCTCCTTGCTCAGTGGGGAGCCTGCTTCTCCCTCTGCTGTTCCCCCTGCCTGTGCTCTCTAAAGTAAATATCTACAAAAACAAAAACCAAAACAACTAGTGAAATCAGAATATCAAAATGAGGTGTGCACTTTAAAATCCCATACCGACGTGGGTTCTTTAGTTGTGACAAATATATCACAGAAATGTTAAAGAGGTCAACAACGGGGAAAATGGATGTGGGGTATATGGAAACTCTCCGCACTATGTTTGTAACTTTTCTGTAAATAAAAAAAATTTTTTAAGATTTTTAATTTATTCATGACCAACACACACACACACACAGAAGAAGAGACACAGGCAGAGGGAGAAGCAGGTTCCATGCAGGAAGCCCGACGTGGGTCTCGATCCTGGGTCTCCAGGATCACACCTCGGGCCGAAGGCAGTGCTAAACCGCTGGGACACTGGAGCTGCCCAAAAATAAAATTATTCTAAAATAAAAATTTACTTAAATTACCTAGTCCATGTGTACATACTAGATGTTTTTAGAAGACTTAAGATTTGGGGGGGTGGAAAGGAGGACTAATCTAAATTTTTTTTTAAATTTTTATTTATTTATGATAGTCACATAGAATGAGAGAGAGAGAGGCAGAGACACAGGCAGAGGGAGAAGCAGGCTCCATGCACCGGGAGCCCAACGTGGGATTCGATCCCGGGTCTCCAGGATCGCGCCCTGGGCCAAAGGCAGGCGCCAAACCGCTGCGCCACCCAGGGATCCCCAGGAGGACTAATCTAAATGCTTGACCTGAATTATGAATTAACTCATTGAATCCTTGTGACAGTACTAAGTAGGCACCACTTATTATTACTATTATTTAAGATTTTATTTATCCATTCATGAGAGACACCGGGAAAGGCAGAGACACACGCAGAGGGAGAAGCAGGCTCCATATGCTGGGAGCCCAATGTGGGACTCGATCCCGGGTCTCCAGGAACAGGCCCTGGGCTGGTGGCACTAAACCGCTGAGCCACCCAGGCTGCCTGGCACTATTTCTTTAAGTAAACTCTACTTCTGACGTGGGGCTCAAACTTACAACCTGAAGATCAAGAGTCACACGCTTTACCGACTGAGCCAGCCAGGCACCCCAGAAGTAAGCACTGTTAGCTGCCACATGTATCGCTAAGTTTCTATATGGAGTTAACAGAAACGTAGCGATAGAATAATGTAGCCACGATCGGAGGTCTGAGATTTGAACGTAGTGGAAACCGAGGCACAGGGAAAAAAATTGACAGTAAGCTAATAAGTGGAGTAGAGACAAGGTCTGAACCCAAAACTAGGCGCCAGAGTCTGTGCTTAACTGCTACTCATGCTGCCTAGGTAATAACCTAGCCCCTATAAGTCAAGTCTTCAAATACTGGCACAGTGCACAGTAAGTGCTCTAAGTGAAAGTGGTCAGATCCCAAGAAGGACTTCCTGCATGCAACTGAAGCCTGCGAATCTTCATTCCCAAATAAGTCTCAAGATCAGAGTTCCCCCACCTTCTCTGGACCTCAGAACCACCACCTGTGATGTTAAGTTGAACTCTAGGTGTCCTGCTGTGGACAGATGCAAGGTGGGAAGCAAAGACCCATACCCACTTGGGCCAGTGGAAGGTCTAGTGCATAGGAGGGAATGGCCAGGAAGCCCCTCTCTTTTAGCAAAGGGCAGTGCAGATCTCCCTATTTTGGGGCAGGGTTGGTAAACTGATCCAGTGGGGGGCAGCTGAAGCAGAACCAACTGGCCTGAAAGGAGGGCCGAGGATAAGGGCTGATGGGAGGTGGGCAGAGGATGGAGAAAAGCTAGAGTCAGGGTGATGATGCCTGCTTCTCTGCAACTGTGCTGGTGTTGCGGGTGAGCGTCCATCATCTGGAACAGGGAAAGGTGGGGATGTCTGGCAATTACTGACACCTTGAAGAAGTGAAGAAGACACAAGAATGACCTACTAGCAGCTATTGTATGGTCAAATGTCTGGGGATCTTGCCAGGGCAGGAGGTATGGTTGAGACTCAACCCCAGAGTTCCTATTAAAAATGAGACATTAAATAGGCAATTAAGAGCCGGGCTCTGGGTTTCACAGGCATCGACTTGATTCCCATCAGGCAGAGTTGATTATTTTCTTCATTTTACAGGCAGTTCCCGATCTACGAGACTAGAGATCTTGATTATTTGGCCACCATCGCAGGTCTGAGATTTGAACGGCGCGCGCGGTCTCATTGTGACTCAGACAAGAGTCTAACCCACAAAAAGGGTTCTTAGCGTGGGGCGGCAGTTTGGGGATAGGAGTCCAGCATGTGGCTGGCCGGAAATTCGAGAACTAGGGCAAAAGAAACCAAAAGTGAACTAGGACAGGTCTCAGAGAAGGCGAGGGATCGAATCCCTAGAATTCGGGGGGGGGGGGGGAGACCTGAGTCAGAGAGACAGAGAACAGGACCCCAGAGTTGGAGGGAGGAGGGGGGCCGGAACCCCTGGGGTAGGAAGACGGAGCTGGTCCCCGGGTCAGAGGAAGGAAAAGGCCTAACTCCGCGTCGGGAGGAGGAGGGGAGTGGATCCCAGGATTCCCGAGAGGAGAGGCCAGGCCCGCCTCCCGGTTGGGGCCTGGCGGGGCGGGGCGCGGAAGGATCCGGGAGGCCGTGCTGCGCCATCCCCTGTATATCTGTCCCCACTCCCCGGGGCCGCCTCATTCCCCATCCACAGATCACAATCTCTCCTCAGGCTACCGAGACGCCATCTCCGCCTGCCCAACCCCGACTATGGCTCTGTAGCCGCGACCCCTCCGTGTCCCGGCCCGTTTCCGCGCTCACCGCGCTTGCGCTCTTCTCTACCGCCTTCTTTTCTTCAGCTGAGGCCGCCGCCGCCTCTCCTTTCCGTAGCCATGGAGTGAGTAACCGCTCGCCCCTCCCTCTCCAACCGCCTTTCCCGCCCTTTCGAAGCTCGCGGCCTTCACGACCAGGCCTGGGGGGTGGGGAGACGAGAGTGAGGAATCACGGTCGCGCAGGCGCAGAAGAGGGAAACGCGTCGTTGGCACGCGGCCGAGCATGCGCATTCGGTCCAGTGGGGGAAGGGTACGTTCTTCCCTAGAATGCTGGAGTTTAAAGATGGCCTGCGCGCAGTGCGCCTGCGCACTAGCCCCAAGCGGGGGGTTCGCCCCCCGCCCCCCGAATGAGTCTGTCCGCGAGCGGTTGCTCATGTGCACAAGCCCACCAGACTCCGTATTTTTTGAGTGAAGGGCGGGCAGTAAGCAGCTGCACATCCGCACTGACTCCCCAGCCCCGCAGGCCTGAGAGAACAATTGGATCGGTGGCGGAGCATGCGCTTTAGCCCTGCGAGAGAGGCGTGTGGAAGGGTCGTTGTTGGGGAGCCCGTCTCCGCCGGCCGGCTCCCGTCTCCGAGCTCCACCTTGCTCCTGCGCACAACGCAATTTACGTTTCATTCGGGCACCTGCTGGGGCGGGGTTAGGTGGGGCTGACTCAGATTGACAGGGCGGAAGGCGAGGCTTAGAGGCCACCTGTAAGGAAGGGGGTGGAGCTAGGATCACAGCGGCCGCGACGGGTGGGCGGGGTCTATCGTGAGAAGGGGCGTGGTTAAGCAAATTTACCTGGGGTGGGGTTTCAACAGAGAGAAGGCGGGGCCTCTGGGGTATCCCGGGAATTAAGTGGGGGGCTAAGGTAATTGGACGGGAAGGGACTGGGGCGGTCACCGCGAAGTTAAAAAGAAACCGTGGGACTTAATAGACCACGGTTTGGAGGGGCAGGGCTGGGGGAATTCACCTGGGAGCTGATTTTTGAGCCGAGTGTTTAGAGGGGGTGGAGCCTAAAGGAAATACTTTAGAGGAAGGGGTGTGGCTGGAAGAAAATTCTCCTGGGATTGAAATTTTTTTTTAAAGATTTTATTTATTTATTCATAAGAATACACAGAGAGGAGGAGAGAGAGAGGCAGAGACACAGGCAGAAGGAGAAGCAGGCTCCATGCAGGGAGCCCGTCGTGGGACTTGATCCCGGGTCTCCAGGATCAGGCCCTGGGCTGAAGGTGGCGCTAAACCGCTGAGCCACCCGGGCTGCCCTGAATTTTTTTTTTTTTTTTTTTTGAATGAAGTGGAATTTTGTGAGGTGGGAGGGAAGGGCTTAAGGAAATTCCCCTGGGAGACCATTAGGTTTCTGTATAGGAAGGAACAGGGCTTGGGAATTCTAAAGTAAAGTAAGTGGGGCCCAAAGAGGAGCACCTGGGTGGCTCAGTGGAGAAGCATCTGCCTTTGGCTCAGGTGGTGTGATCCCAGAGTCCTGGCTCTCCAGGGGGAGCGTGCTTCTCCCTCTGCCTATGTCTCTGCCTGGCTCTGTGTATCTCATGAATTAAAAAAAAAAAAAAAAAGAAAGAAAGAAAGAAAGGAAGGAAGGAAGGAAGGAAGGAAGGAAGGAAGGAAGGAAGGAAGGAAGGAAGGAGGAAGGAAGGAAGGAAGGAAGAAAGAAAGAAAGAAAGAAAGAAAGAAAGAAAGAAAGAAAGAAAGAAAGAAAGAAAAAAGTGGGCCCCAAAGAGAATTTCTTTGGGAGTGGGTGAGGCTCAGAAATTGGGGGAAAGAAAGCATAGATTTAGAATTCTGATAGGGCAAGGTGCAGTCTCAAACCCAATTGGAAGGGGAAGGTAGGAAGGACCTTGGGGACATGGAGCTGTGGCTTGGTTTCTCTGTGACTTTGGCTGTGGATGAGGATGGCCTCTGACATCACCTATTCTGTCTCACTTGTAGGTCTTCCACTTTCGCCTTGGTGCCTGTCTTTGCCCAGCTGAGCAACCTCCAGAGCCTCCTTCCAGCTGTTGGTTCAGCCTTCTTCATTGCCACACGTGCCCAGAGCCTGTGCTGCAGCCATGTCACTCCTGGCGACCCTGGGGCTGGAGCTGGACAAGGCCCTGCTCCCAGCTAGCGGGCTGGGCTGGCTCGTAGACTATGGGAAACTCCCCCTGGCTCCTGCCCCCCTGGGCCCCTATGAAATCCTTGGGGGAGCCCTGGAGGGCGGGCTCCCAGGGGGAGGAGAGCCCCTGGCAGGTAAGGGCAGATAGAGAATGGAGGTGGGGTGCGCTGGGGCATGGATCAGGGGAGAAGAATTCATTGATTCACTCAATAAATAGCTGTAATGCTCCAGGGGTGGCTTTTAGGGGCTAGGGAATATAGCGGAGACAAGATTAACATAACCCCAGCCCTCTTGGAACTCACACTGAAGTGGGGAGGCTGACAAAAGAAAATTAGGTGATGATGTATTGAGATAAGTGGAAAACACTTCGTAGCTAACTAAAAAATGAAAACAAAGTCCTAATTTAGAGTGGGTAGCCAGGAAACACATAGGTAACATTTTGACTGAGACCTAAAGGCTGGGAAGGAATAAACCATGAAAAGACCCAAGGGAAGAGCTTTTCAGGTAGAGGAAACAGCATCCTCAGAGGCCCTGGGGCAGGAGTTATTTTATTCATTAGCATATCCCAAATATTTGGCACATAGTGGGTTCTCAATAATTAATGAATTAAGGATGAAACAGGGTGTGTTGTGTGTGTGATCTAGTTTGCCTTTTAAGACTAGAGAGTAAATCAAACTACAGATGTAGGGTAATCAGGAAAGCAGGTGTTGGAATGGTTGAAGAAATGTCTGCTCGACTTGTTTTTTGGGTCGTTGGTTGCTTCACTGGTTCATTGACTGGTTAGTTAATGGGTTGAACTGTTTGTTGATTGATTGGTTAACTGGTTGGTTAGATGTTTGGTTTCTTGGCTGGTTTGTTGATTTGTTGAGTGGTCTGATGATTCGTTGATTGGTTGGTTGACTGACTGGCTGCTTGGTAGTTTCACTCAATGAATGGCATGTATGAAGCAGGCATGAATGATCACCAGGTTGGGTAGAAGACCAGGAACTCAAGGACGTTTATGTCCCTCCTCCAATCCTCCAGGTGACGGCTTCTCTGACTGGATGACTGAGCGGGTGGACTTTACAGCCCTCCTGCCTCTGGAGCCCCCCTTGCCCCAAGGTGCCTTTCCCCCACCTTCCCCACCCCCTCCTGACCTGGAAGCTATGGCCTCCCTCCTCAAGAAAGAGCTGGAACAAATGGAAGACTTCTTTCTTGATGCTCCACTTCTCCCACCATCCTCCCCCCAACCACAGCCACCACCATCAGCACCGCCCCTCCCCCTTCCACTTCCCCTCCCCACTTTTGACCTCCCCCAACCCCCTGCCCTGGATACCCTTGACTTGCTGGCCATCTACTGCCACAGTGAGGCCGGGCAGGGTGACTCAGCGTTGGCATCCTTGCCCCCACCACAGCAGCCCCCTCCTCCTCCTCCACCTCCTCGCCCAGCCCCCTACCCCAATCCTGCCACTACTCGAGGGGACCGCAAGCAAAAGAAGAGAGACCAGAACAAGTCAGCAGCTCTGAGGTACCGCCAGAGGAAGCGGGCAGAGGGCGAGGCCCTGGAGGGCGAGTGCCAGGGGCTGGAGGCACGCAACCGAGAGTTGAGGGAGAGGGCTGAGTCTGTGGAGCGTGAGATCCAGTATGTCAAGGATCTGCTCATAGAGGTGTATAAGGCTCGAAGCCAGAGGACCCGAAACAGCTAGAGGGCAGGGGTTTGGGCTATAGGGTACACTGGTCTTCATCTCCACCTACCCTCTGTGTCCAAGTTTGAGGTAGGAGGGTCCCTCCATCATCCCCCTGTCTGTCTCCCCCCTCCACCCCACCTCTGCCGCCTCCCATCATCTTTGTTTCCTCTCCTGTCCATTTCTGAATCTGCTCCCCTTTTCCCTCCCCAGAATCATGTTTGGCCATAGTCAACATCTGCACTCATCTAACAGCTGAGGGACTCAGGCCTGCAGGGAATTTGGGGAGCAGAGGAGGGCCTGCAAACCTGGCCTCCTGGGAAGCTATGCAGAACGACTGTGCAGCCAGGGACAGGAGAGCCAGCCCGGATGTGAGGCAGGGAGGGTTTCAGGAATGGAGGCCTTATAACAATAGAAACAAAAAAGCAAGCCAAGTGACCTTGGGGAAATGTATTTGGGCAGGAAGCCAAAAGCGGCCAAGTTCACAGAGCAGGTGAATTTGCAGGTAGATGGGGAGGTGCAGGCTGGGGGATGGCCATAGTTGGTGACTGGGAGTTCATTTTAGCTCTGGGAAGAAATCAGTGTTTGTGATGGGGTTGGGGGAGGGGCTGATTGTTTTGGTGGTTTGTGAGCAGAGAAATAAAATGAAGAATTTCCTCTGGTCTGTGTCTTTGTCATGGAGAGGGAGAGAAGTTGGGGAGGGCAGTCTTAGGCCAAAGGCGATACCAACAGTACATAGAACATATAATACCTGGGTGGCTCAGTGATTAAGCGCCTGCCTTCGGCTCAGGTCCTGGGATCGAGTCCTGCATCAGGTCCCCTACAGAGCCTGCTTCTCCCTCTATGTCTCTGCCTCTCTCTGTGTCCCTCATGAATAAATACATCTTTTTAAAAATAATACTTAAGGTTAAGCATGCACACTTGGCACATGGCCAAGGTCCAGATCCAATAATTGTACTGGTAAAGACACAAGACCCATTTTTAGATCCAGACCATTTATTTAAGCATGAGAGTGTGTGCAAATTGGAGGTGGAGGGAGGGAAAGGAACAAGCAGACCCCATGCTGAGGGTGGAACCCAATACAGGGCTCAATCTCATGACCCTGAGATCATGACCTGAGTCCAAAGCAAGAGTTGGTCACTCAATTGACTAACACACCCAGGTGCCCCAGATCCAGACTATTTATTACTTACATCACAAAAGAAAGAATAGCAAAGGTATTGTGCTTCTTGTCACACACACCAAAAAGGACCACATTGAAACAAAAGGGCCTAGATGCTGCTTCAAGGGTCCTGGGCTACCCCTGCAAAGGAGCCAGCTGTCAAAGGCTGCTGTTGCTGAGGGCTCTTTGATTCTCTTGGTTTTTCCCTCATAGTCACAAGATGGAGACCACAGTTCCAGGCATTATGTATGAATTCAAGGCAGGTCAAAACTTTCTCAGTCTGGTAGATTTCTGCCTGCACCTCATCCAGAACTATGCTACATGGGCCTTTCTAGCTGCAGGGGAGGCTGAGTATAGATATGTAGTGGAATATAATTCAGTGTTAAAAAGGAAGCAAATTCTGACAGCTGCTACAACATGTATAAAACTTGAGGACGTTATGCTAAGTGAAATAAGCCGTCACAAAAAGATAATTAGTGTATGATTCCACTTACACGAGCTACTGTTTCAGGTCCTCAAGGTTTATCTAAGAAGTGGAATTGCTGAATCATATGGTAATTCTATTTTTAATTTTCTTGGGAAATGCCTAATTTTTGCATAGCAGCTGTACCATTTTACATTCCCATCAACAGTACACAAAGGCTCCAATTTCTCCACACCTTTGCCAACACTTGTTATTTTCTGCGTGTTTTTTAATAGTAGCCATCCTGATGGGTTTGAGATATATGCCTAAAATTCTTTTTTTACTTTTATTTATTTTTTTAATTCTTTTTTTTTTTTTTTTTTTTAGTTGAAGAAACCTTCCCCCTTCTAAGTAGGGCCAGCCCTAATCCAGAGGCAGCCCATCCAGGCGCCTTCCTGAAATTTTAGCAACTAAAAGCATTCTGTTTACAATAAGAAAACCATTTCCCCCCACACCCTGATTGGAATGTCCCTGAATAGGTTCATGTTGACCCTCTGTGAAATCAACCTGGATGCTATGTGACTCCCGCGGTTCTTTTGTCTTTTTTTTTTTTTAATTTATTTATTTATGATATTCACAGAGAGAGAAAGGCAGAGACACAGGCAGAGGGAGAAGCAGGCTCCATGCACCGGGAGCCCGATATGGGATTCGATCCCGGGTCTCCAGGATCGCGCCCTGAGCCAAAGGCAGGCGCCAAACCGCTGCGCCACCCAGGGATCCCGGTTCTTTTGTCTTTAGGCGGTTTCCTTTTGCCTTTAAAAGATCCCTGTAATTGCTAATCGGGGCTCTTTTCATCCTCGGAGGCGGAGAGCCCGTTTGCGCAAACGTTCAATAAACCCTCTTGCTAATTGCATCTGCCTGTCTGGGGTCTGAGTCTCTGGGGCGTCCACCGGGACACGTTGGCACCCGTGAGCCAGGGTCCAACAAAGTAAATATTTATTTGAGAGAAAATGCACACAAGTGCACACATGGGAGGGTAGGGGTAGAGGCAGGGGGAGAGGGAGAAGCAGACTCCCCATTGAGCAGGGAGCCATTCAGGGCTGATCCTAGGACCCTGAGATTATGACCGGAGCCAAAGTCAGATGCTTAACTGATTAAGCCATCCAGGCACCCTTAAAATTCATTAAAAAAGTTTTTTTTAAATGATTATTTGGGAGGGAGGGAGGAGGGGCAGAGAGAGAATCTCAAGCAGACTGTGTCAAGTGTGGAGCCCAATGCAGAGCTGGATCTCACCACCCCAATATCATGACTGAGCCAAAATCGAGTTGGTCACTCAACTGATCTAGCCATCCTGGTGTCCCTAAGTTTTTTGTTTTTGTTTTTTTTTAAGATTTATTTATTTATGATAAACATAGAGAGAGAGAGAGGCAGAGACACAGGAGGAGGGAGAAGCAGGCTCCATGCCGGGAGCCCGACACGGGACTCCATCCCAGGACTCCAGGATCGGGCCCTGGGCCAAAGGCAGGCACCAAACCGCTGAGCCACCCAGGGATCCCCTAAGTTTTTTTTTTGTTTGTTTTTTGTTTTTTTAAACTCTACATTCAGTGTGGGGCCCAAATTCATGACCTGAGATCAAGAGTTGCAGGCTTTTCTGACTGAGCCAGTCATGTGGGACCCAGGAAATCTTTTTTTTTTTTTTAATTTTTATTTATTTATGATAGTCACAGAGAGAGAGAGAGAGAGAGGCAGAGACACAGGCAGAGGGAGAAGCAGGCTCCATGCACTGGGAGCCAGACGTGGGATTCGATCCCGGGTCTCCAGGATCACGCCGTGGGCCAAAGGCAGGCGCCAAACCGCTGCGCCACCCAGGGATCCCTGGGACCCAGGAAATCTAACAAAAATCTCCTACCCCTGGACAAGCAGAGCAGGACTAACTCCATTTTGTGGATGGTGGGCTCCACCTGCCATCTCATGTAAACCCCCCTCCCCCGCACGACCTGCCTATTGTTTAAGGCACTCCCTCACCCTAGTTTAGCTATTAAGCACACCCTTATCAGAAACCAGCACACTTAGGAATGCGGGACCTCTGACCTTTAACCAGCCAAGGAATGAAAACCCCTCTTTTGCCCACCAAACCTGCGTGCCAATTCTAACCAGAATAATAGGCTAGTTCAACTGGTCACTATAAGGTGAATCATAATTCAGTTGGTCCACCTGCGTGTGGACCAACATGACTGTGCAACTTTCTGCGTATGTTACAACCTCATTGGCCACTGGCCCCTATAACACTGCTGTGCTTCTTAGTCTCGGGGTCCAAGCCCCTGCTCTGCTGTATGGAGTATACTTGGACCCAAGCTCGAGCTTGCTAATAAACCCTCATGCACTTGCATCAGTGTCGGCTCCTTGGTGGTTTCTCGGATTCGCAATCTTGGGCACAACAGTCAGGCATCCCCTGAAATTCATTTTTTTCCCCTTAAGATTTTATTTACGTATTTGACAGAAAGAGAAGGAGAGAGAGCACAAGCAGGGGGAGAAGCAGAGGTGGCGGGAGAAGCAGGCCCCCCACTGAGCAGGGAGCCCCATGTGCAGCTCAATCCAGGGATCCTGAGATCATGACCTTAGTCTAAGGCAGACGCTTAATCAACTGAGCCACCTAGACGCCCCCACCCCTTGAAATTCTTAATTCAAAAAAGAATCAAAGGCACCTTGCTGGCTCAAGTCAGTGGATCACGTGACTCCTGATCTCAGAGTTGTGAGTTTGAGCCCCATCTTGGGTGTAGAGACTATTTAAAAATAAAAATCTAAGAAAAAAAAAAATTGGGGCACCAGGGCAGCTCAGTAGTTAAACGTCTGCCTTTGGCTCAGGTCGTGATCCTGGGGTCCTGGGATCAAGTGCTGCAGCAGGTTCCCTGCAGGGGAGCCTGCTTCTCCCTCTGCCTCTCTGTGTTTCTCATGAATAAATAAATAAAATCTTAAAAAAAAGAAAATCAAGGCTGTTTAATCAATATTTAAGTATATTGTCGATTAAGATATTGATTTGATTTACCAATGACCAAATAACAGAGGCTTTAATAAAATAGAAAATTGATTTTCTCACATAAATATCCAAGCTGGTCTCCTGAGGTCATTCACTCTTGCTGCTCTGCAGCTCCCAGCTCAGTAGTCCTCAAAATTGAGTGTTCATCAGAATCCCCTGGAGGGTTTTTTGAAACACAGAGTGCTGGGCCCCAAGCCCCAGCGTTTCTGATTCAGCAAGTCTTGGATGGGCCTGAGAATTTGCCTTTCTTGCCAACTTCCAGGTGAGATCACTGCTGGTCTGGGAACCTTGGAAGCCATTATTCTAAGGTGTTTCTTTCCTCCTTCAGCTCGGTTGAAGCAAAGTCTCCACCACCACGACCTTATTACAGCAAGCGGGAAAGGGGACAGAGATATTGGAGAGCAAGCTGCCGCCTTTTAAGGACTTGAGCTGCGGTTTTTCTACATCTTTACTGGGCCTTTCCTTAGATGAGAGCTTAGTCATACGGTCACACCTACCTGCAAGGGAGCCTGGGAAATGTAGTCGCGAGATGGGCGGCCATTTTCTCGGCCAGAACGTAGGTGATCCTATTTGGTGGGACTTCAGGGACTAAGATTAATAAAATAAAATTGGAAGGCAATAAAAACTTGGAAAAAAAGAAAAGAAGGATGCCTGGGTGGCTCAGTGATTGAGCATCTGCTTTTGGCTCAGGTTGAGATCTCGGGGTCCTGGGATTGAGTCCCACGGATGGACCCTGCTTCTCCCTCTGCCTGTCTCTGCCTCTCTGTTTTTCTTGAAAAAAAATAAATAAAATCTTTAAAAAATAAAAATAAATTGGAAGACTCAGCGTAGGTCAAGAATGCTGGGGTTTTTAGGCCAGCAGTGTTGTCTGGAAGCCTAGGGTTGGCCAAGATCCTTTCAGGTGATTTGCATGGTTAAAAGTATTTTGATAATAATACTAAAATGTTACTTGAGGGACGCCTGGGTGGCTCAGCGGTGGAGCGGCTGCCTCTGGCTCAGGGCACAATCCTGGAGTACCCGGATGGAGTCCCACATTGGGCTTCCTGCATGGAGC